TGTTCAGGGAAAGGACACTTACACATACAAGAACCTGTAGAGTTGGTAAGGGAAACAGCAACGAGCTGGAAGAGATAAGCTTCTGGTTATTGCAGCTCGAAGATAAGGGCTACGATAGGATTCTGGGAATCAATGATATAAGGAGATTAAATATTCCGTTGCCTCCCTTATGGGAACGTTGCAATGTAATTTCCTTGAAACCAGAAAACTTTGATGATGTAGACCTTCGCTGCGTTGCCAGTGGACATAAAAAAAACTCTTTGCAAGCTTCTTAAAGGAGAAATCAATGAATCACATTGAAAACAAGGGTGTAAAGTTTCTACCTACTGAGTTTAACATAAACTGTGAGTGTAGCGCTAGGTCTGTTGAAGGTTTTACAAAGCCTACTTGTGCCGAGAGGTTAAGGGCAATGCGGAAAGCAAGGGAAACTGTCAAACAGCTGGTGTCAGGTAATTCTGTTAAGAAACTTATGAATCCTAGGCCACCTTATACTAGAAATTTCGACAAAGAAGACCTGGTAATGCTAGCTGTTCCTAAAAATGAAGGTTATTCCAGTTTCTATGGGCCTTTCCGTGTGGAAGCTAGGGTCTCTGATGCCAACTTCAAAGTACGAGAGGTCAACATGCGCATTGAGAAGGTTGTACATGTCAATAGGATGAAAGTGTTTAGAGTCAGACGTCAAGAAGAGCTTTTTAGCTCTTGGAATTGAGGTAACCGAATGGAATCCTCTGAGTTGGATCGTTCAGTTGCTCCTTAAGCTAATATGGTGTCTGTGAGTTCCCAATGTTTTTTCCTAACATGCCGAACTGGTTCCAAATGCGAACTTATCGGCTCCAACATTAAACTCTGTCTACTAGAGCATATTATATATGCGTGTGCTCTTGGTAATCATTCATGTTAGCTCACTATAGTTTGCTCAGGATTCGTTTTTGTTTTGGAGGAACAAGATGGGAGAGAGGCACCTTCAAGGAACGACCTGGTCGCCTACTTCTCCTCTCTTTAGTTTTTTTATAACATGGCTCCCGTTAGCTATTTCCCTCCCGACAGCGGGAGGTTTTCCTTACGGAACAATCGTAATATGTTTGAGAGATAGTTTTTTAATAATTATTTTTGTTTCTCTCTCTCAAAAATAATTTGACACACATATATAATAAGTTTAAACATATTAGTTAAATGCAAATAATGCTTTTTATTTGCATATTTGCATATTAACAGACTAATCTCCCGCGCCTTGTGATTGGAAGAATGTGACCATGTTGTACATAAAGGGGTTTCATAGGTAATGCGAGGACTCTTCCAGAAGTTGTTGTGTGGAGACGCTTAAAGAATTCTCTATGTGTTTGTTCCGTGTCTGGTGATCTCCTCGCATACCTGTGTAACCCCGGTTCGCTCCTTTTGAGCGCTGAAATAAAATATCAGTACTGTTTTTTAACAATTCGTCTTTTTTATTTATGTCCTTCCTTTATGTTTTGTTGTACTTTTGAGTGTACGCGTTTCTGTGTTTCTTTTACTTTAGGCCCTAGTACTTTTCTACTTTGTGTGTATCAAAAGATTCAGTGGTGAAATATCGGAAGACCTAGCAAATCCTTCACCCGGATGTTATGGGAACAATGGAAAAATATTAAGGCATATCTGGAAGCGGAGATACGGTCTCTCGCACCCTCCGTCGACAAGTCTGGCGGTGGATACATCGAGAGAGCAAGTCACTTCCTGAGGCGGAGACTGGAGGACAATACTGCTCGCTCCGACTATCCTTCCTTGTCCGACTTCGGACGTTCCCTTCGAGCTAGACGTCGCTCTCCCCGCACCTTCATCGACGACGACGGCAACGCCATCTCCGGGGGCCAGCTTAGGCGTTTACTTCCGGAACACCTAAGCAGTCGCTTCGCCCAGGCTCCAGGCTCGACAGAAGCCATCGCCAACTTTATAGCTGAAGTGGCTCCCCTGGAGTTCGACGAGTGGGACCAGCTCTTTCTCGCTGACATCTCCCGCGACCAGATAGAGGCATCCACCCACCGCCTGCCAAACGGCCGTGCCTCGGAATGGGACGGATTATCCTGCGAGTTTGTCAAAGCTTTTTAAGATTTCTAAGTCGAAGTTCTTTGGCAAATCTTCGGGGCTTCTCGACTTTGTGGGGCCTTGCCCCCATCTTCACTACGCAGTAAGATCATCCTTCTGCCGAAGTCGCACGGTGGTCCGGGTCTACAGGCATTTCTTCCAATCAGCCTCCCAACGACCGACTACAGGCTCCTCAGCGGACTGCTCATGGGCCGTCTGCGCCGTCATCTGCCAGACCTCGTGCCTGAGTTACATACTTACGCCGTTCCGAGACGCTCATCCTCCTGTGACAAGGCATAACACGCAGCTGGCTGTCATCTCTTTGGACCTGAAGTCGGCGTTCAACAGCCTTAGCAGGAGCTAACTGTTCGCCCTGCTGAAAAAGCTGGGCTTACAATCAGCCTTCCTCGGATGGATTTCTGTCCTCTACGGGGAAGCAGACGCCGCCATCCGGGTCAGAGATCTCTACATCAAGGCCTTCCCGTTTCTCAACGGGGTGAAGCAGAGCTGCCGCCTCAGCGCCGCCCTCTTCAGCATCGGATTTGGGCCTCTGCTACGCCGCCTCTAGAGTATCTTGGGCCACGGATGCATGATAACCTATGCGGATGACATCATACTTTTTTAGAGACGACGCTCAGTTTAAGCTCGTGCCCCTGACCTTCGAAGAGCTCCGCATGGCCTCCGGGATGGCTGTCAACTTCGACAAGAGCTGCGGGCTCTGTTGTGGTTCCTGGAAGCACTCCTCTGAAAATCTCATGGACTTCCTAGTCGCTGACCGTCCTGGACTGTACAATATCTGCCTGGAACACTGCGCTTCCCAGGCCTTTTACTTGATGGGGCTTCTGGAGCGAGCCAGCGCAAGGTGGCATCCCTCCACTCGCGGCCTGTCGATGGTTGGTCGAGATCGCACGGCCAACAACCTTGTCCTGGGATACTTCATGAACAACCTCGACGACTACGTTCCATATTAAACCACCATCGGCCGGCTGCAGACGCGGCTAACGCTTCGTATGGGGTACTAGCTAATTCTCGTGGCTTCTCGGGGGCACGTTCTGTTTCCGAGGGTGGCTTCGGCCTGCTGGGCATCGCGTGCCAGCTTCGACTGGCCTGCCTGAAGGGGTCCAGGTCTATCTGCGCCAACGGCTACTCTTGGCTGGTTCGCAGTCGGGCGTGGCTGACCCCGTCTGCTCCTGACGTCTGACTTCATCGAGGAGAAGGAGATTTGGTAGGTCACGCTCAGCGTCCCTGAGATGGACCACCGGGTTATGCATCCCGCAGGCCCAAGGTCCCTGCGTCCTCGAGGCGACTACAGATTCCTGCGGCCGCTAGACCTGCCGGTTCCCGAGCGCTGGCTACAGGCGACCGTCGGATATTTCTCTGATGGTGCCCCTGCCCTAGCGCGCTCAACGCGGGCCACGCTCCTAGACGCGCAGCATCTGGGGGCCTTCTGCCAGCGTTTCCTGCAGGAAAAATCGATTTATATATTTTAAACACAAGGTAATAAGACTAAATCCAAATGAATAAATAGTGTGTGACAGTAACAACGCTGTTACCGAAACGTCACACACTATTAATTCATTTTAATTTGGTCTTATTACCTTGTGCTTAAAACATATAGATTTTTTAAATTAATTTAAATTTATTCAACTTTAAGTTTTCCCAAGCACAAAACATTTCCAAACTACCCATATTTAACTTTTAAAGCTCGGAATAAGATAAAAACAAAAAAACTGATAAAATATTTATTTTTACATAGAGAGGAAGGTTGATGGCTCGATGCGGCAGATACTGAAGCGGCCGAGAATGGCTGTGATAAGATAGAGATAGCTCGACCTAAACACCATTCTCCTCTCTGTACAAAATATCGTAAAATTCCAGTTGATCACAAAGTTGGTAGTAAGAGTCGGTGGACAAGTGGGTGAAACCTTCGATTCCCGACAGCCATGAACCGGGATTGAATCCCGCGTTAACATTTTGTTTAATATGTGAATAACCTTCACATATTATTCATTCTCAAAATACGAAACTATTTTAGACGCCTATGATTCTTTTTAAAATAAAACAATTTATACTGCCTTTACTGCAATGGAAAAATTAATGGGAGGGCCTGGCTCATCAGTGGTGAACCCTCCCAGCGGTTTCGCCAGTTTAATTTACCAAGGATGAGCCATTGATGAGCCAGGCCCTCCTATTAATTTTTCCATTGCAGTAAGGGCAGTAGAAATTGTTTTATTTTAAAAAGAATCATAGGCGTCTAAAATAGTTTCGTATTTTGATAACAGATGGAGCGCTAGTACATCGTAATATTATTCATTGTTGTAAATATCATAAACTACGTTGTTCTTTTTGAGCGGTACCTAATAAACTGATTTTGGAACAAGAAAGTTGTTATTAGGATGAATCCATACCAAAGTAAGACCAATACATCTGAAAAAGGAAGAGTTACATATTGCCAAGTGGAAAATGAAGGAAGACAAACTTCTCCTTGGTAAAAGGTGAAAGGTTAATGAATGGCTGAAGGAAAGACAGAGCGTTAAGACAAACTTCAGGAGAGAGATTGAATATACTTTTATGAACCGTACATATAAGATTATATAGGGTTAATTGAAGAAAAAAAGGTAAAATTAAATATTATTTTCATGAGAGGAATCCCATTGAGGGTCGTCTGGTATGATATCACATTCCGTCCTGAAGTCAGACAGCCGTAGATCGGACTTCTCCCTGACATGTGCTATTGCCATGTCGAGGAATAACTTCAGAACAGACCTCTGCTCAGGCGTCAGGTAATCGAGGATGTCCTCCCAGTTAGAAGGGGAGACAACAGCGTCTTCTATCTCCTCCCTATAATAGTTTTTATAAAGAGAGAGAGAGAGAGAGTATGGTTTTATGGGCTAATTAACCAAAGTTTACAAAGTGTAAAAAAAAAAAAAAAGAAAGGAAATTGCCTATAGCACTCGGTGTTCCCAGGTGGTCACCCTCCCAAGTACTGACCGGGCCCGACATTGCTTAACTTCGGTGATCGGACGACAAAAAAACTTCAGGATAACACAGCAATTTATTTAAGGCAAGAACTGTTGACTTTGCTTAGAATTTTTAATGAAACTGTTTCTAAGAATTATTAATTAAACATTATATTTATTGATTTACAAGAGAGAGATCAAAATATAAAAGGGAAACTAATATTGAACAAAGGAACTTTTTTCTCTTTTTCGGTTAGCACCTATTTACCTGTGAGCTTACACATACTCTGTGGTAACAATTAATATATATACAACAACAACAAATTATATTTTATAAAATACAATATAAGAAATGAGAGAAGTGAGTAGCAAAATCTAAACAACAATATTTATACTCAGTTAATAAAAACTTTGCTACAATATTTCACGGTCGCTAGCAATGGGAGAGTGAACTTAATTAAGTCAAGATGGCGACGCACCAGAACCTTGAAACAGAAGTCCTGATTCAAGACTGGAGATAAATTTGGGACGGTCCTAAATATAGAGCCAGCTTCCAACTGGCATTGTCTCTTCGGGGGCACGTGTGTGTTCCTCACCCAGCTTCTCTCACTTGGGATCTCAACAGGCTTTGTTAGAACTCTCTTGCTACAATTGAATATTCTTACAATTTTACATTCAAAATTATATAGCTAATAATGTGATGCATCAGTGCGCCATCTGTTACGAATATTCGAAACTCACATTAATTTTTCCATTGCAGTAAGGACAGTAGAAATTGTTTAATTTTCAAAAGAATCATACGCATCTATAATAGTTTCGAATTTTCATAGCTAATAATAAATAGCAAAATATCTTACAGTTAATATAGAATTTGTTAAGTTATTTGTTATTTATATTATTATGAATAATAAAAAATAAAGGACAATTATATACAGATTATATTCAACAATCATACTCAAATTATATATAGTTACATTCAAATTATATATATAGTTACATTGTTTTAAGAACTAACTGAAAGAAAAGCGTATTATAATTTTAAAAAAGACAATATGGTCAAAATGTTCAGAATTAATAATGGATAAAATAAAAATAAAATATTTTATTCATTATTAATTATAAACATTTTGACCATTATTTTTACGAAGCCATTGTCTTCTTTAAATTAATGCGTTTTTCTTTTATGATAGTTAGTCCTTTAAACAAATTGAATAATATAAATAAAATATTGTCCTTTATTTTTTTAATTATTCACAATAATATATAATTAACTTAACAAATTCTATATTAACTGTATAAGATATTTTTGTCTATTTTACTCAAGAGAGTTTAAATAAATTACTTAATAATAAATAAATATTTTTCAATTATCTACCAAACGATACTGCACTTAGTAAGAAAACTTCCTAAAAATCATTTTTTTACAAATATATATATACTAGCCGAATGAGCTCAGAAACAAGACATGCTCATACGGCCTAGTGCTGTTTTCGTAGCATATTTAATGTGGTTTTGAAATTCTGAATAAAAATGTAAAAATAAAGATTCGCTTATAGAAAAACTAAGTGTTTTGAGATGGCACAGCAAAACTGGGTCACCTCCATTGAAAGGAAGTGGTCGACCAGGAATTATCTCGGCATAACTACCACTCCTACAACCGTTAGGGCTCGGTGAGTTACATAACTTACCGTTATATGTTAACTAGCCGAATGACCCGGGCAACGCCCGTGTTTTACCCGATTGAATGTTTTGATTCAAATACTATTTGTTACAATTATAAATTGGCGCCTTAAATAAATGCATATTTTAGTTAATAACTATAGCCTATGTGCTTTATCTGTCTATGTACTGTTGGCTTCCGTAGGCGTCTCTTACTGGGAAAAAGAAAGAGAGGATTCCATTTAGTTATTAACTAATATATGCATTTATTTAAGGAGCGACCCGCTCCAACACAATAGTTACAAAAACCAAAAAGCGAGTGGGGGGGGGGGGGGGGGGGGCAAAGTCAAAAACAAAGTGTCTCGCGTAGTGGCGGCGCCATCGTAGCCAACCAATAGGAGAGCGCCATTCCAAAAAAAAAAAAAAAAAAAAAGCAAACGGTGACAGAGATGATGACGCTCGTAACTGTATATAGAATATTTAATATAAAGTTGCGGCAGGATTATATTAATGTACCTAGAGAGAGGCATCTCTTCCTTTTAATTATACACTAGAACAATGTATATTATGTTCATTACATTAGTAAAAAACTTTACTGGTGATGATAAAGAATGAGCCACAATATTAGTTTTGGTAAATTTAGACAAAATCCAACACCATGGTATCGTAGGATATTATGTAATCGAAGCCGCCTCTTTACTAATGAGGGCCTAGCCCGGAATAATGGTATAGAGGTTGTTTTTGACTGAATTTGCCAAAACTGGTGTTGTGGCTTCATCATCACCAGTAAAGTTTTTTTATTAGGGTGATGAACATAATACATCCTTCTGATGTATAATTGAAGGAAAAGATGCCTCTTTCTAGGTACAGATATATAAGACCAAATATATATATATAGAACGCTTCACGATTTTACGTGTCATCCTTGCGTAGGGGCCATGCTAATTTTCTCTCTATAGTTCCAATTATAGTATACTAGCCGAATGACCCGGGCAACGCCCGTGTTTTACCCGATTGAATGTTTTGATTCAAATACTATTTGTTACAATTATAAATTGTGGTCATGTGGCTTAGTGGTCATGGCATCTGCCCGGTAAGCGGAAGGTCGTGGGTTCGATTCCCATCCCTTGACACTTTTTTTATTTTATTCATTCTGACCAAAATCTATCCGTGAACTTCACACAGTGAACTTCACACAGACAGAATAAGGCAATTATATAAGTAGATGTAACGCCGAACAAGCGTGTACAATCTACAATAGAACGTTTCACGATTTTGCGTGTCATCCCTGCGTAGGGGCCATGCTAATTTTCTCTGTATAGTTCCAATTATAGTATATGTACCGCCGAACAAGCGTGTACAATCTACAATAGAACGTTTCACGATTTTACGTGTCATCCCTGCGCAGGGGCCATACTAATCTTCTCTGTATCGTTCCTATTGTAGTATATGTACCGCCGAACAAGCGTGTACAATCTACAATAGAACGTTTCACGATTTTACGTGTCATCCCTGCGTAGGGGCCATGCTAATCTTCTCTGTATCGTTCCTATTGTAGTATATGTACCGCCGAACAAGCGTGTACAATCTACAATAGAACGTTTCACGATTTTACGTGTCATCCCTGCGCAGGGGCCATGCTAATCTTCTCTGTATCGTTCCTATTGTAGTATATGTACCGCCGAACAAGCGTGTACAATCTACAATAGAACGTTTCACGATTTTACGTGTCATCCCTGCGTAGGGGCCATACTAATCTTCTCTGTATCGTTCCTATTGTAGTATATGTACCGCCGAACAAGCGTGTACAATCTACAATAGAACGTTTCACGATTTTACGTGTCATCCCTGCGTAGGGGCCATGCTAATCTTCTCTGTATCGTTCCTATTGTAGTATATGTACCGCCGAACAAGCGTATACAATCTACAATAGAACGTTTCACGATTTTACGTGTCATCCCTGCGTAGGGGCCATGCTAATTTTCTCTGTATAGTTCCAATTGTAGTATATGTACCGCCGAACAAGCGTGTACAATCTACAATAGAACGTTTCACGATTTTACGTGTCATTCTTGCGTAGGGGTCATACTAATTTTCTCTCTATCATTCCAATTTTAGTATATGTATTTCCGAACAAGCGTGCACAATCTATAATAGAACGCTTCATGATTTTACGTGTCATCTTTGAGCAGGGGCCATACTAATTTTCTCTCTATCATTCCAATTTTAGTATATGTATTGCCGAACAAGCGTGTACAATCTATAATAGAACGCTTCATGATTTTACTTGTCATCTTTGAGCAGGGGCCATGCTAATCTTCTCTGTATCGTTCCTATTGTAGTATATGTACCGCCGAACAAGCGTGTACAATCTACAATAGAACGTTTCACGATTTTACGTGTCATCCCTGCGTAGGGGCCATGCTAATTTTCTCTGTATAGTTCCAATTGTAGTATATGTACCGCCGAACAAGCGTGTACAATCTACAATAGAACGTTTCACGATTTTACGTGTCATTCTTGCGTAGGGGTCATACTAATTTTCTCTCTATCATTCCAATTTTAGTATATGTATTTCCGAACAAGCGTGCACAATCTATAATAGAACGCTTCATGATTTTACGTGTCATCTTTGAGCAGGGGCCATACTAATTTTCTCTCTATCATTCCAATTTTAGTATATGTATTGCCGAACAAGCGTGTACAATCTATAATAGAACGCTTCATGATTTTACGTGTCATCTTTGAGCAGGGGCCATGCTAATCTTCTCTGTACCGTTCCTATTGTAGTATATGTACCGTCAAACAAGCGTGTACAATCTACAATAGAACGTTTCACGATTTTACGTGTCATCCTTGCACAGGGCCCATGCTAATCTTCTCTGTATCGTTCGTATTGTAGTAGTTGTACCGACGAACAAGCGTGCACAATCTATGATAGAACGCTTCACGATTTTACGTGTCATCTTTGCGTAGGGGCCATACTATTCTTCTCTGTATCGTTCCTATTGTAGTATATGTACTGCCAAACAAGCGTTTATTATAAGACCAAATAGAGCTATATAAGATTATGGACATTGGTGTTCTTTGGCGAGATGGATGCTAACTATAGATGCGCTTCACGATTAAGCTGCTGGCTGTATAAATACAGCATATAGAAAATCTGAGAGCAAGTATTCTGGGCGATAATCTACTTGCCAGCAGAGATAAGGCCACCGCGAGCTGCACCTTACGTCAACTGACATAGAAGACCTAATAACAGAAATTGATTAGAAGACACCTGAGCTAGGGCCACCGCGAGCTGCACCTTACATTAACTGAGATAGAAAACCTAATAACAGAAATTGATTAGAAGACACCTGAGCTAGGGCCACCGCGAGCTGCACCTTACATTAACTGAGATAGAAAACATAATAACAGAAATTGATTAGAA